TGGATTTTTAATACGTCACTTATAGCTATAATTGACGTATTATAAATCCAGAAAATTTGTAAGCGCTGCAAAAATTCTTCTTCGTCTCTTTCCTGCCGTGATTGGATCTTCGTGATTTGTTTCTTGTCAAACAAAATAATCATTTTTTTTAAAGAAAGTAAACTTTGTGATTTTGTGCAAAAACCACCGTCAGTCTTCAACTTCAATCAACAATTTGCAAAGGCGGCAACAAGCGCACCAGCCTTGCTGTTTAACAGCAGCCTGTTGGAAACCGGATCCAGATCTGAAACAGAATGAGTTCTTAATATCATCTTTTGGAACTAGCTAGCAGAGTGATGGTCAGAAAGGCAGCCCAGTGCGCACTGCTGCCAGTCCGAAAGTTTTCTTTAACCCAACAAGTGTGTGTGTGAGTGCGTTAGATCTGCGTTCTGTTACAGCCTATCACCTGACTTTTGTGCGACGACAAACAAGGCAATAGAGACGTCTGTGAGATCGACAACTTATTACAAAGACGACAGGTCCGTAATTAATTCGTGCGCTCTGATTGTACGGGCTCACTAGTGGCTTGTACTTTCTAGACAAGATGGCGTTTAAAAGGATCCAGTTCTTTGTCCTTGGGGCTGGCTACGCTTTTGGTGCTACGGTCAATACCACCGAGACGACCAAAGAATTCATGCAGCTCGTGATGAAGAAGATGCTAAAGAAAATTGCGCAAGGCGCGAAGGCAGACGTCGAGAGTGATGATGAAGACGTAGGAATTTGCAGTAGCGGCGACGAAAAAACTGGTGGTTCCTGCAAGTTATACGTTGCGAAGGGGCCAGGGTTTCTTCGCATGGACTCGTGGCTTCGCCTGGAAAGCCGATTTGCCAAGAGAATCAAGCGAGGTGAACTCCCTTGGTGGTTCTCAGTCGTGTTTCTTACTGAGCGAAACCAAATCGAAATTGGAGAAGCTATCGTCGACGAGCATTACGGATTTCCCGTATACGGTGTACCTGGCACAGTTCACGTACTCATTGGTGGCGTGCCAGAACACATTTTGCAGGGACTACGCTTGGTAACCGCAAACCAGCTTCGGTATTACAAGATGGAGCACGCCCAAGGTTCGTAGTTTTATTCCTATATACTGTTAATCAGCCACTAATGTGACCATCTCGTGTGTATCATTAAGAGCGACTCCAACTTTTTGCCCAATTGAGGTGGGTTTGCGCCGTCGTCGCTGTGTTGTGTGCTGCGTATCTCTACGCTGTTGATGAAAACGCCTTGCGCGGCTTCGTTGATGATTTCACGTCGGGTAACGGAAGGATGTGGACGGTAGCCATCGAACGCCTAGGCTTGTGGCTGTTTTCGGTACTGGCAGTGGTCATGCAGACGACGAAAGACAGCTACGCGAATGTGAGAGCGACTCTCGAGAAGCGTATTGACTACGCTGTGATAATCGACGTCGTTTGAGTGGCGATGTCTACCTGCGTCAATACTGACTGCAACAAGTCTCAAAACGCGTCCACATTTTAGTTACCCACAGCTTATTTAATAACATTCTTAAAATATTTTGGCAACAAGTTTTGATATTTGCTCTAGTAGTCTCTCTCTGACACGACCCAAACTGCATCTGTCACTACTCTGTCACGAGCCCGCACAAACTCAAAGTGGGCGTGTGAGGCGTTGTAGATATGCAATCGTCCATGGCCATATTCTTGCTGTCGTGATCGACTCCAATCGGCCTGGAAGTACGAGACATCGTCAAGTTCCGCTCCCCCAGACCCAATCATTATGTGGGTGGGTGCCTGAGCTCTTCCGTCGCGCTCTCGACACTCATCTTGATACACTGGACACGTCCGTTCGTATGCATGGTAATGTCCAGAGAAAACAAAGTCGACGTTGTTTGCAGCAAAGAGGTCCTCAAAGCAACCACGCAGCAATTTCCCCACGAAATGATCACCTTCGTAGCTCTCAGAGCAGTAGAGAGGACGATGAAGATGCACAACCAGCCACGGGGTCAGTCCACGGTCGACATGATCACGAAACTCCCGCTCGAGCCATCCCCTCATCGGAGAACCGACAGTACAGCGATGCTCACTACTCAGAATCACATGGTGGGTCATTCCAATACGGAAGCTGTACCAGAATGGAGGATTCGAGGTGGCATCCATCGCTTCAGGCATGTGGAAGCGCCGTGCGTAGGGCACACCACATTCTCCATGAGAATCGTCTCCGAAGTTGCCGCCATCCGGGTGCCATCCGTTCGAGAGTGCTGCCTCCTTTCCGGACAGATCATGACCTTCACCGTTGTCAATGTAGTCGTACTCGTGGTTGCCAACTCCTACCATGTAGGGCAGACGTGAAGCCACAGACTGCACAACAGCCCCGTACTGATCCCAGCGATACGACTTGCCTTTAGCGTACGAGATGTCGCCAATGTGAATCAACGCAGCGTATTCCGGTGCATCGTCGTCTGCGTCATCTCGTAATGATTCGTCGAAATCCTGTCGAATCCGCTCCATTACAGTCCGTTCGTCGCCCCACTTCGCCAGTCTGGACACCATATCCAACCCATAGAAGTGTCGCTCAGGATGACTGTAGTCAAAATCCAACTCGTCGAAAGGCTCCTGCAATACACTAGTACCTAGATCTCCAAACACAAAGAAACTCTGCGGTCTCTGGTTCTCTGTATTGCGCTCTCCTAGAGCCACTGGAAATGTAAATTCCAGGTTCTGGACTCGACACACCGGTCGCACTACCCACACGATAGGTATACTTCAACTCAGGCCACCAAGTCTGTCATCACCGCATCATGGAGATATCCTGGATGCCGAAAGAACACGGTCGAGCGGATTATAGCAAACCCGTCACACATATCCTGAGCGGTATACGACCCTGAAGTCGCTTCTGCTTGATACCCCAACACCCCTGACGTTGCTGTGCCAAATTTTACATTAGGACCAAACACTTGTCCACTGACCCACGAGACTCGCATCTCTCCTTTTCTACCAGTCAATGTCAGTCGAATCTGCAGCGGCTCTGTGTGACCCCTCTCCATTTCGATATATGGAGACTCACCCAGGACTTCAAAAGCCGGTCGAAACTCTCCAAATTCATCAAAATCAAAGGACGCAACTTTCCTCAGATACTTAATCTGGTACGACGCTCGCATGTTCACTAGCGGTCCGAATACAATTGAGTGGATTCCTGACTCCAGCACGCGACTTTCATTGGCGTACACGTAGTCGATGAAGTCTGATAACGGATCTCCTTCGACGTCGTTGGATTCTTCTGGGTCCACGAGATAAACCGCGACTACATCGTCTCTGTCAATGAAATCTCTTGCGAACTTAACCTCCACAGTGCCCAAATGCTGAACTATCGTTGTGTTGACCGATAATTTCAGGTTTGCGATTTGTGTCTCATTCCGCGGTAAAAACGCACAAACTGTGTTGGAGCCAAAACAATCGTGTCGTCCCTGATGCACCATCCACGCCCCACCTCGATGCCAGCGGTAGAGCCAGTTGTAGTATTCACCCGTGAATAGTTCTCCCTGGAAAGAAGACCCATCGCTGCCCGTCACTAGCGTCAGCAACAGCAACGCCACCGACGTCAACGATGCCATCGTGAAAAAAAAAATGTAGAACGAAAAGTAACATCTATCCAAAAATAATGGCTAATGATTGGCTGAAAATCATTAAACTGATCTGATTGGTTGCTGACGCGAATGGTGCCAGCAATACCGCTTGTCATGGCTTCGTCTGCTGCTGCTGCAGACGCCTCCACGTCTACGGAGACACCTCGCCTGCCCTACGTCATCTATGAAGGCGACACGGTTATCTGCCAGACCAGCGACGGCCGAATGTTCTTCCAGACCATCGCCAAGGACGAGTGCGTCCACTGTTCATTATCTGCCAAACCACCGCAGTAACTATTATAACTTGCCTCATTATGCTAAAACCTAGGTCGGTTCGCGTCGGCAAGAAGGTAGCAAGTTTGAAACCAGTCATTGGCTCCTTCTACGGGTAAATCATAGCTACAAAATGCGATGGATACTGTGAAAGGAGCTCTAATAATCTTCATACAGTGCCATCTTCGAGGAACAGAACAAAAAGCTCGTCAAGGTGACGGGTGGACTGTTCCCGGATCCTGTGGCTCCAGGTAAAATAAAAAATAATTAGTGAATTATCTTGTGTATCCATACGTACTTACATTTTTTTTTAAGAAACGGGCGATAGCTTTGTGCCGGATGGAGACAATCGTCACTATGCGGACACCAACTCGGCGCAGACGTTGAAGCAAACGGATATCGGGGAGCTGCGTGAGAGTGGAGCGTCTGGTCAAGAAATTATCCAAAAGTTGGTGGAGAACAGCTCGACGTGGGAGACCAAGACGGAGTTCTCCAAGCAAAAATACCTCAAGAAGAAGCAGCAGAAGTACATGCCTCGAGTGCGGTTCCTGCGGTGCACTGCTGAGTCGCTGTGCCGCACGTATCGACTGAAAAACCCGGCCAAGATCTGCAACTTGCGCGAGGATTCGCTGGGTCAGATGCTGGTTTACGGCAACATCTTTGCAGGTGGACAGGTGCTGGTGGTGGACACCTGCATGGGTTTGGTAGCGGGAGCCATCGCTGAGCGTCAGGGAGGCTCTGGACGCATCATCTGTCCCTACGAGGGTCAGCAGCCTGCAGCGGATATTCTGCGCCGTTTTAACTTCGGTAAAGTATCGACGAGGTGGACGAAAGTTGTATTTATTGCTAACTTTCTTTTATTCTTAAATTGCTTTAATTTTACAGACAAGCGGACCCTCGAGTCTATTCACTACATGCCATTCAAGCATGTGCGGCTGCTTGAGATGGTAAGATATTGATTTTTCTACTTACAAGCAGGAGGTTATTTAATCTTTTTTATATTGCAGGAAGAAGAAGATGTGACGGAACCAGTGAAGGTCGCCAGAGATGGATTGACCCCTGAGGAGCGAGAACAACTCGCTGAGGAACGTGCCAAGAACTTCACGCCTGAGCAGCAGAAACGCTATGCCGAGAAGAAAGCTCGACGCGAGCAGACGAAGATTTACCGTCAGAAGCCGTCGACTATTCGCGAGTGGGCTCGTGAAAAGACTGACAGTCTCGTAATAGCGGCAAACTACGACCCCGAGGAGGTTTTGATGGCCTTGCTGCCGTATCTCGGTCGATCCAAGCCGTTTGTGGTCTACTCGGAGTTCCTTGAGGTGAGTTTTTAGTCTTTCGACTGAAAACAGTGGAAGGGAACACTAACTTGTTGTTTGTTTATTGCAGCCGTTGACCCGGACCTTCGCCAGGCTGCAGAAGATGGAAGCCATCATTGACCTCCAACTGAACGAGACGTGGACACGTGAGAACCAAGTGCTGCCTGGTCGTACCCACCCGGAGATGAACATGAGTGCTTGCAGTGGATATCTTCTCTCCGGAATTAAGATCCTGGACATCCCGCCTCTTGGAGTTACAGCAAACGCATCCGACGATACTGAAAGTGAATGTGATGAAGCACCAGCCCAAAAGAAGCTCAAGACCGAGACCAGTTAGATGCATCTTGTCAACACACGAGAGAAAAATATAGACGAAAACATGTGACGAAAACAAGGTTGCGTATCTCTATACTGGAGTCGGGGGATTCGGATAATAACATTTTAATAATTGGGGCATTGTCCTCAGAAAAGTAGTACTTCAAAGTACCTCTACTATAAGTACTTCGTAAGCTATTATCGTAAAACTAAGGACTTTAGTACATGTACATGTAGTATCTCCTGTAGTATAATTGTAACGCGGTACAATTACCAATTCAAGTGCTTGTTTTAAAAGCCGAAGTAGCTTCTAAATTTCTGGAATTGCTCTAGCAAAATTAGGCTGTGTTCGACTCGAAAACCTTGATTTCTTAAAAAAATAGCTTTTTCATTTAAAAAAATAGCGCCTCAATCGAAAATAGCTATTTCGTGAAAAGCGAGTCTATAAACCAATTTGAAAACCAAACATTGCGAGGCATTTAAGGTTGTCTAGAACTTGGGTATAAAATCTCAAAGCCTAATAAAACCCTCGCTGAAATAGCTATTTGGGAGCAAGTCGAACACAATTTTGAGCAATGCGGATTTAGTGTGCTATAAACTGTACTGATTCTCATTATGGTGTTAAAGTTGACGTAGGACAAAAAGAGACAGAAAACTGAGATCGCTTAGGGCCGTTCCGAACCGGGATCGGATCGGATCGGGTAGCGAATACCTCCCTCTTATTGGTCAACGAAACGGGGAGGGTTGGGGCTGTCGGCGTGTTTAGCAATCACCTCGCGATCCAGTGCGATCCAGAGCGCCCACTCGGGTCACCGCGATCCGACACAGATCGTCAGGTGTTGCTCCACATTTCGAGCGCGAATACGTGAGGTGAAGAGTGGATGGACGAGTATGAGGTGCCTCGGTGGATGGTGAAGGTCCACCAAGCTCGCAAACGTCGCCGAGTACAGCTGGCTGAGCCATTGCCTCGATACGGGGCACTCCTAGTGACTGCGTGCCGCGCAAGCGGCTGAACTGGGGGCTGCCCTGGCAGACACTTCTGTTGGAGGGACAATTCGAGCAGTGCTACCGCATGAGCGCTGCATCTTTCGACAAGCTGCTGTCGTTTGTGAGACCTGGGCTGCTGCGCGACGAGATCCAGTCTGAGCGGCGCACGGGAACGGACCCGATCACGCCCGAAAACATGCTGCAGATGACCATTTCCTGGCTGGCAGGGGGCAGCTTTCACACCACGCGCTGCCTCGCTGGCGTATCTCGGTCGGGCTTTTACGATGTGATCACTGCTGTAATGGACGCGCTGTGTGAGTGTGAAGAGTTACGAATTTATTCTCCGACCGAATCCAGCAGCCGCATCGAAGAGCTCGCGTCCGGGTTTACGAAGATCAGCAAGGATGGTATCATGACGGGCTGTGTGGGGTGTCTGGACGGTTGGCTCTGCCAGATTAGAGCACCAAGCAGCCGAGAAGTACCCGACGTTGCTGCTTTTTTCTCGGGACATTACCATATGTACGGCTTAAACGTTCAAGCCATTTGTGACTCGCTGTGTCGGTTCACCGGGTACTGCTTTGACTCACCGGGTAAGGTGGGCGATTCAATCGCATTTAGGAAGTGGACACTAAGTGATGAAATCATGGAGCTACCTCCTGGATACTACTGCGTTGGAGACAACGCTTACCCGCTATCAGACTCACTACTGGTGCCGTACAATAAAGTGGAGTTGAGGACAAAGCAGGACTCTGATTTTAATTTCTATCTCAGTCAGCTCCGCATTCGGATTGAGATGGCGTTCGGTTTGCTCGTGAACAAGTGGCAAATATTTAAGAAGCCCTTGGTGGTGGATTTCAAAAACGTTAGTAGAGTGATTAAAACGTGCATGAAGCTCCACAACTTCTGCACGAACGAAAACTTAATTGGTGCTGATGCAACGGTGATGCACGACCGAGCGTCAAGTGACCACAGACTACGAGAATGTGCCTACAAAGCTGCGGACAATAGTATCGAAGACACGTACGTTACGGGCGCCGAAATTGACAACGCTGCTCGCGGCCGTATCCTGCGCCAGGTTCTCAGCGACCACATCCAGGACTTCAACCTTCGGCGCCCGAGTACGCGTTAAACTACCTGCTGGTCGTTCACGTTAGCGATAACTTCGCTTTCCAGTTCCAGAATTTGATCTCTTAGTTTTTGGCGCTTCATACGCTCCTGTACCAGCAAACCTTCGACACCAAACTCGTCTTCATCACTGTCATCTTCGTGCTCTTGAATGTGCTTCTTCAGCTCGAAAATATTGCTGTTAGTGCGCTCCAAAATTTCGGACAGCATGCCAAGTCGATGCGAGTTCCTCTTATCATGCAGCAACAAAGCTTGTTCCTTCCACGTGGCTTCTTGAGCTTCGCTGGTCTCATTCGTTGACGCGATTGCACCGACACTCTCCGCTAATGCAGCCAGCACCTCGGCCTGTGAGCTGTTTCGACGCTTACGGTTGCCCTTCTTGGCTCTGCTTGTGCCCTCTTTCTGCGAGTCGTCTTCATCGTCCGAGGATATGTTTGCTGAGCAGAACTCGCGACCAGCACCCCGATGCTCGCACCAATGGTGCAAGGAGAAGACGTCCGCTTTTCCTCCACAGTACTCCCAGAAGTCATCACTATGCTCGCCAGATTTCTTCGATCCCGCCTCTGCCCGAGCAAACTTGCCGCTCACGTCGCGCCACATTTTGCGGAGTTTGGAGCCCGAATGGTCTACCGTCTGCGACGGCTGAATGCCCTCAAATATGGGCTCGTCCGGGGAGACCAGCGTGTCAAACTCGACGTTGTCCTCACTGAATGCTTTCGCTATATCCTCCCAAAACGTCGATCCACCTTGGTCGAGCTCGCGCCGGCTGAGCTGGTCCCCATATGTCAGGAAGGCGTGAAAAAAGCGCTCCGAAAACAGCACGTTGAGCAGGCGAAACATGCAATTTTTGGTTCGTTGCATCTCCGCTTCTTGTCCGCGCCTCACGTTACTCCTTTGCTGCTGCACCTTCTTCTGGATGGCCTTCTTGTTCTTGTCGTACGCGCTCAGTAGCGCGATACGACCCTCCTTGTTTGTGTTCTTCACTACGTTAAGCTTACGCGCCGTACACTCGAGTTTGAGCTGGGTGAGCGACCAGTCATCGTACGACTCCGAGGTTGGCACGGGCACGGGCTGCTTGCGTCGGCTCAGCAGCGCCGCACTGACTGTTCATGTTGCTAGCGCCACCATGGACGAGAAGAATGTCCTATCAGGAAGCTGAATGAACGCGCAAAACGAAGCTCGCAACAGGAGCTCTGACGCAAGGGAAACTTCAAAGGAAACTGTAGCCATGACGCGAGACCTTGTTAGATTGCGATCCGGTTCGGAATCACCAAAAGCACCTCACCAGGGCGTCGCCTAACCCTCGTTGCCCCGTGCGGCCTGCGATCCGATCCGACCCCGGTTCGGAACGGCCCTTAGGGGAGAAGGCTCAGCTGAGAACATATCTGGTGCCTGCAAAGTGGCCTTTGCACCCAGTTAGTTCATCGACTATCATCGCCGTGGCCTTTGCCTCTGCATTTCAGTAGCTGTTCGCAGCAGGTTTTGAGCCCAAGGGTCACAGTCTGGAGCACATGAGCAAAGATGGACATTGACTAGAAAGAAGACTAAAGGAAAATATGGCAAAACAGCGAATAAATAGATGAACAGACACCGGTCAAACGGCCCGTATCTGTTTATCTCTTGCGGATGGAGCGAGTGTCGTTGAAGCTTCAACGGAAGAATCTGTAGGCTGCGAGAATGAAGTAGATACGTCCGAAGAGGCCGAGGACGCGGAGAAGAATGACGATCTAAAGAAGACCCTACGACAGAGAATTTCTTCTTCGACAAAATGACTGATAAGACGATGAAGCTGCCAAGCACAAGAGATCCCTGGTGCGACTTGGACGGTGGCTTAGAGTGACATCACGGAGGGTAGCATAGTGGATGCAGTAGTGTTCCTGCAAGGAAAGTAAGATGACAGCATCCGTAAAGGGTTGTTCAGTGTAGTAGCTGATTAGGCGGCCGTCTGCGGTGCGACGCCTCCTCGTCTTGATCGGTACGATCTCTCCTAGTGCTGTGGTAACTTCCTTAATCCAATCTTAGATCAAATTAGTATCAATCTTGGCTGCGTTTTGGCTCCTAACACGTGAGCGGTGCTGAAGCATGATGTTTCCAGTGTTAAGCTGACGTCGGAAGCGCGTGAGCGACGTGTCGCCAGCGTCGTATCCTGCTGCCAACGCCTTCCTGCACACTGGCCCAACCCGAGGCAGTACGTACTCAAAGCGAGGCGGTTCTTGCTTGGTGTACGGCGGATCGAGGCATCCGCGACTTCAGCAACTGCTAGGTTTGGCTTTACACTGACGTGTCGCTCGCGCATTGTCATCATAGATAGCGATTCAAGCAACATGGCGATCTCTAAGTCCACCCCATCTAGACAGTCCCAAGAACAACATGTACGCTATTTTAGAGACGTCACAGCGCGCAAAGGCGGCACAACAATGGTGTCCCCGAAGCGCTTCAACAAGATATCCGACAACCTTCTTAGGCTCCGCTTGCACAACCGCCTCCATGTTCAACTTGTCTTATTTATCGTAAAAGCCAGCCATAAGTCGTGACAGCCGAGACTCTGCGTCGTGCAGACTCGTATCTATGCAAAGCGACTTCACCTCTTTGTCCAAAACTTTGTTTGCAGTATCATCCGGCACGCAGGCTGATATAGGGAGAAAGTAACGAGGGCCCTCATCGGGAGGGCCCTCGCACAAAAAGTACACGATTGGGATTGGCAGAGGAGATAGTCAGTAAGTACCAGTATAATACCGGCTATAAAAACCGTTCCCGTTTCAAAAACCGTTCCCGTTTCAAAAACTGTTCCCGTTACAAATCGCGTTTCCGTTACAAATCGCGTTCCCGTTACATCTACCACTCTCAGATCTCCCTCCAAAGCCTCAAATGGAGAAACTACCAACAGGGCCATTGCTTTCGCATGGCTATCTGCCTGTGGGCCTCGTGCTTCCTGATACGGTAGTTCCGTCGCTCCTAGCGGAAGCCAAAGCGCGTCCGTGCAATGGTGTCGTTAATCGCGTGGGTGAAAAAGACGACAACTTCCGACAGCAATCGCGCGTGAGCTCTTGCACCCTGTCAGCGCCTCTACAAGCGTTGAGCAAGGCTCTAAAGGTGGTTGTCGCCATGCTGCACCCTGGGTGGAAGCCTGGTGTTTTCTCTTTCATGCGGTCGATGCCTGGGGGCTCAGAACAGGAGCCCCACCAAGACTACCAAGAGAGTGACTTGGTGAGAGCCCGTAACCTTCGCCCGGATGATGTTCCAGCCATCATGATTTTCGCTTTGGAGCCCGGCACGAAGCTCCGCATCTATGCTGATTGCTTTACTGCAAGAGACAGCTCCAAGGCGCGCGTCGTGGACATTCCGGTTGGATTCTGTGTTCTCTTCAGAGGTGACCTCCCCGGAACAAGGACTACGTTCAATTCCACCAGAGACAATTTTCTCCGCATCCATCCACAACCTCTCTGTGTCTCCCAAAGCGTTTCTCGTGATAATCCTGACAGCTCGATTGTATCTGCTTTTTTGCAGCAGATGAGGCACAATCGTTGCATGTTGAGCCATGAGCAAACTTGTTTCGGAAGCGGCAATTGTCCACCAGCTACACAGCTTCTTGAAAACTGTGTACAAGTCGCCTTGACTTCATTTCAATTTGGCTTTGATCTTGGCATCGTTCGTTTCTTGATTGACGCGCCACTTGTGATAAAATTTGAGTTTTCGAAGCTACACGAATAGAGCTTCTATCGCTGTATGAGAAGCCAGGTCTCGTCTACGAACAGCACTTCTTGTGTTGGCGATGTCTTTGACGATCACGACAGAGTCTGGATCGGCACTTATAAGCGTGGCTTGAATGGTCGAAGAGGCAACACCTGCTGCAGTTTGGAGTTCCACCAGCTCTGACGTGGTCACCGACGTTTGTTCCTGAGATCTTTGAGCAGCACGGCGCCTAACAGCAGCATGAGCACGAATGTCCCGGGACGGCTCGTAGTTATGGTGAGCGCTCAGTGCCGTGTGAACAATCTTTCAAGGCCCGTCGGTTTCTGCCTTGCTGACAGCATGCAGTGCAATGCGCATGGGACATCCTGAGCGTTTTGAACCTCGCATGATGCGCGTTCGGGTCTCTTCGGTCAAGTGCTGAGTGCTCTTCACGGCTCCGGAGCGATCGCACTCATAGTTCCGTGCCCACACCTTCTTGTCTGCGTCGTCTGTGTACCGAACTCGACGACGTGAAAGATTGAAACCGTGATCTTTAGCCCACTGATGCAACGCTTCTTCAGCTAGGTCATGGGAGGTGTACACAGATTGGGGTGGAGGTAAGATGACAACACGTCAAGGGCCGGTATTACTCATTGGTGAACTCTTTGTATTTGACAACCTTTTGTGGTTCGTCTGCAGTTCGTCTACATCCATTTAAACCGGTATTATACTGGTACTTACTGACTATCTCCTCTGCCTATCCCAATCGTGTACTTTTTGTGCGAGGGCCCTCCCGATGAGGGCCCTCGTTAGTTTCTCCCGCTGATATAAACAAATCTTTCCGTTCTGTCTCTGTTACGTCTTTCTCTTCTTTAAACAACTCCAACGCACAAATTCTGACCAGTGCCCCCTGCTCTATACAGGCACTCAGTGGCATTACAAAAAACTTTGCCTGCATCACGGCGGGTAAATATGGCGTTGCTGTCCATAAAATCGCGTTTCCTCTTCTTGAAGCTGCCACAATAAATTGGATGGACCGGCAGATTAGTCCCAGCGGCCACAGTGATGGCAGATGTATCTGTAGTGCGGCGCTCCGTCAAAGGCTCAGCACCTTGCGTGAAAACGCCTCAACGAGCTTGTAATTGAGGCTGCACTACCTATGCTAAGCTTTGGAGTCGTTGTCCCTGTAGCCCGACGGTCTCTTCGGCAGACTTCAACAACCTGTATTGCTCTTCCAGGTATCGACGATTCCATCTGTCGTCTCATCTCTTGCTGCTGCTCGAGTAGCGCGGACTGACGGTCGTGCTGTGCTTGCAGATAATTCGACGTTTGCGCAGCAAGGCTGTCCTGCTAGTGCTGCACTTGGCCGACCTGCTCCGCAGTCATCTGATGCATTGCGGTAGAGTGCTGAGCTAAGACCATGACATGGCGACTGGTCTTCGAGTCTCGGATTGTGATAGATATAGGGAGGTAACGGCTGGTATACCGCTACCGGTACCGACGTTCTACCACCGGAATTCGGACCCATTGCTTCCTCTGCTTTCTTTTATGGCTGGGAGCGACCCCTATCTATATATTTTTTCGCTGCGTCGCTCGATGCAGATATGAAAGTAAATATATTGATGAGCTTTGTGTTTTATTTCTCTACCTGTGTGCTCGTTGGTTTGTAACATCGCTACTTGCTGCAGTTGCAAACCTCCTACGTATTCGCATGAGCTCCTCTTCCCACAGCAGCTGCAAAACCGCTACGCCATCGCGTACTCGCTGAGGCGATCACTCAGCTCAATGAGTGCATCCGTTGCTGGGCCAAACCCCAGCAACGGTTGGACGCTGTAGCTTCAGCTACAGCATCGATCTTGGTCGTTTTTAGCTCCGAATCTTCACCGATTTTCTAGACAATTTTACGGGGCTCTCTGTTGCTCCCAGCTGGTGACGCATAGTGTTCGAAAAGCAAAACATATTAATTTTGGCGCCGTTATAAATAGCTTAACTGCGTCGTCCTCCCTCAATGAGGGCCGCATGGATGACGTAGGTGACGTTGCACCAACAGATGCAACCTACAACAGACGCCAGCAATAAGGCGGCTTCGTGCATTGGTCCTGACGAGGTCAATTTTATAAAATGGAAACTCTGTTCGGACTTATTTTTGTGACCAAATACTGATTCCACGCCGATGACGAATGCTGGAGCATGAGCTTGGCAAGCCTCATGTGGTGCGAGCCGTACCAGGTCACTGGCTTCTTGTGGGGTCTAAGGTGACTTGACAAGTCCACCTAAGCGCTCATCATTGATACCTCGTTGGTCTGGGCTATTTACGTAATAGAATGCTGAGTGCAAGTGCACGAAAGTACTTTAATGCAATTTCGTGCACTGCGCAAAACAGCCGTAGTCAGCAACCAATCCAATCCTGATATGTTTTCTCCTGGATTTTTTTTTTCAAGAAACATTGTTTAAATTCTTAAGTACTTCGAAGTAATTTTTACTAACGTCTTTCAGACTTTGAAACTTATTTTACTTTTGCTTAAATCTGCTGGTCTTAAACTCATTTAGAGCAAAAAGTAGCAAAAATAAAAAATGATTTTCATATAAATGAGTGCTCTTAAACTGCTACAGTAAAATATGCGGAGTTCCTTGCTTTTGACTCGCAGGACGCTGGCGCTGTCGGCCGGGCGCTGCGCCTCGACCGGCACCAAGCAGCCTGGTCGCGTGGTGGTTGTCACATCTGGCAAGGGAGGCGTGGGCAAGACCACCGTCACGGCCTCGATGGGCTACGGACTGGCTCAGCGTGGCTTCCGCACGTGTCTGATCGACTTCGATATCGGCTTGCGCAATCTAGATCTGCACCTGGTACATCGTTAAGCGCGTACAAAACTCAAGATAAAGAGCTCGTCCACTAACACTAATGCTACGCAGGGCTGCGAGCGCCGCGTCATCTTCGACTTTATCCACGTGATCGAGAAGAACTGTCGTCTGAACCAGGCGCTGATCAAGGACAAGCGTCTCGAGCGTCTGTCACTATTAGCAGCCAGTCAGACGCGCGACAAGGAGGCGCTAACGGAGGATGGAGTTGAAGAGGTACTTGACGAGCTTAAGAGCCAATTCGACTTTATTCTATGCGACTCGCCCGCCGGCATCGAGTCGGGAGCTCGTCACGCCATGTACTTCGCAGACGACGCCATCCTCGTGACGAACCCGGAGATTTCGAGCTGTCGCGACTCGGATAAGATGATTGGATTTATCGCCAGCAAGTCTCTGCGCGCTAAAGAAGGAAGAGAACCAGTTAACCAACGTCTGCTAGTTAACCGTTATGACGCTAACCGCGTTAAGAACGACGACTGCTTGTCAGTGGATGACATTGAGGAGATGCTGGGGCTGCCAGTCTGTGGCGTCATCCCCGAGAGTGCACACGTGTTGACGTCCTCTAACATGGGACAGCCAGTTATTACTGCGGAGGGGGAGAAAGCTGCCGTCGCCTTTGAAGATGCAGTGGCACGTTTCTTGGGCGAGGAGCGCGAGATGAAGTTCCTAGAGCCTGAGCCCCCCAAAGGCCTGTTTGGCCGCATCTTCTCGTAAGTTGCACAAGACAAAATAAGCAGAATAGAAATGGAAATCAAGCAACCCAATTCTGCTTAGAAACTGGATCAGCGTCGACTCTTCTCCTTGCTTTTCCCCTTTTTCAGCGCGTGCATCTCTTCTGCCTCTTTTTGTTCTAATTCTAACGCGTTCAGACGCTCTAGCACTAAATTTGAACAAATATCAAACAAACACGTTAGATACCCGACACTTAACAGCATAACAGACAGATTGAGTCGTACCTGGTAGCAGCTCCTTGTAACGAGCTTCAGCGAGTAGAAACCCTCCACGCTTGATCTCCTTGATACTGAGCTCATGCTCCAACGTGCTTGGACGCTGCATGACTTCTCTAGCCCACGTCGCGTCAGTACGCGCAAAGAAGTCGCGCAAGTTCTCGCCCATCTGAGGTGTCCGCTCGACGTCGTCCAGGCCAAGTTGCTCCTGTAGCTTCTCCATCTCCGCTCGTATGGACTTGCGGTGGCTCTCTTTCTTAGTTTTGGCTTTCTTCTTCTTGTCCTTCTTGGCTTTCCTAGCTGCGTCTTCGTCGTCGTCTTCCTCGTCCTTGTTCAGCATGGCCATGGCTCGTTCCACCGCCTTCGCCTTCTCTTTTTCTTCGCGTGCCTTTATACGCTCTTCATCGTCCTCATCTTCATCGTCGTCCTCGTCGAAATCGTCGTCGTCGTCGTCATCACCGTCGGAAGACTCCTCCGTCTCGCTCACTTCACCCTTCCAAATCTGATGCGACATGGTGCCAGGCAGCACTTCCCTCCACTCGTCAAGGCGCTTCAGATCCAGCGACCAGCAGTCATCTAGCGTGAACTCGCGGTCGCCATCCTCCACTACGCCGCCATACACGTACAAGGTGCTCCCACGAATCATCACAGCCGGGTTGATACGCGGACAGGGGGCAGGAGCTGCTAGCTCTTGCTCTTCCGGGTCCTCCGTCTGGCTCTCATCAATCACAACAGGTTTCTCTTCCTCTTTCTCTTCTTCTTTCGACTCCTCTTCGAATCCAAGCTCATCCTCCTCTTCCTTGGTCTCCTCTTCCTCGTGTGCGTCCTCGATATACACAATGTTGCCTTCATCGTCCACATATCCAAACTGTTTCTCCAACATCGTATCAAAGTCCTCCACTTCTTCTTCGTCGTCCTCGTCACTGTCATTTGCCGTGCCATCCTCCAGCGTCTTATCTTTCTTCTTGCGTCTACGTTTCCCGTCCGTCGACTTCTTGCCACGCAGCTTAAACTCGAACCAGCGACGACGATCCATGTCGTACACGAACAGATCGTTGTAGAACGTCGACTGCATGGCATGGCGGCGTTTCTCCTCGTCAAACACACCGCCAAACAGAATAAACCGCTGCTTGTGCACCGTCACAGCGGCACCACCGCGTGGACTCGGAGCCTGGCCTTTTCTCGATAATTTCTCCCATGTCGGCGACTGTCGCTTCAATACTGGAGCCAAGTTCAACGCCCACAGATCCGAATACACTTTGCCTTCCGATTTTTCACCCACATTCTTCACCTTTGCATACCCTCCATAAATGAATACAATGTCTTTTGACGGGTGCACAGCCAGTTGGCAGCCACTACGCTCGGCCGGGGCTTGTCTGTGAGGCGGATACGAGACCTTCTGCCACTTTAGCTCAGCCAGGTTGAACAGATACAAGTCGTTGAACCACTTGGTCTCTCGGGCGGCCTCATAGAAGCCTCCGAACACGACCAAGTAGTTCCTCCAGACGACCATCCGGTGTCCACTTCGAGGCGACGGCCCTCCCTTGACTTCTAGCTCTTCCCACGCATTCGTTTTAAGGTCGAATCGCCATAGATCTCGGTAGTGATGGAACTGATCAGCTGTCGCGAATTCACCTCCGAAAACGTATAAATAGTCTCGGTATATTGCTGACTGATGGCTACATCTCGGTGGAGGCGAGTTGGGCGAGCTGATGCTCTTCCACGCAGCGTCTCGCAGCGCCTCGGCCTCGCTGGGTGCCTCCTTGACGGCCTGTTGCACTTCCTCGGCGCTCTGCAGCTGCTTGACGTCCAGATTCCACTTGAACACGTCGTTGTAGCACACGTTTACGTCCCCGTCGAAGTATTCGCCGCCGAACAGCAGCATCTCACCTGATGGGAGCGCAGAGAGCGTGAAATTGGCTCGGGGCGTGGGCTGCGGCGCCGCTTCGATGGTCACTTGGGTGCGCTCGGCATCTTTCTTACGGAACTCCTGCAGAATCAGCTCAATGTCCTCCTCGTCGGTGCCAAGAGCCTTGCGGTCTTTCTTGGCGCTCTTGGCATTCTGCTTGGCCTTCTTGGCCTCCTGGCGTTGGGTCTTGGCTGCAGCCTTGTCAACCTTCCCACTGGCGCTCTTCTTCTTGCCCATGGAATATGCTTGGCTATCGGAAAGCGATAGTGCAAAATTAAGTGCTTTAAAAAAGGTTTTAAAAAAATGCTCACATGGTTTTTAATAAAAGTGGAATAAAATCAAAAGTGTGACTTTTTTTTTAAAGGGCATATGATTTACGAAATAAACCGATTTTAGAAGGCCAATACTACATGTAGTACATGTATTACAGGACTGTAATACCGAATTGAATTCCGCGTTATATTGCGCTTTTTTTTGCCTTTAAAAAGCGTTACATGTACAGTATAAACGTCTTTTTTCTCTCATTGAAGTTGCACATTTGGAAGCAGCTCCGGTGGATAGCCCATGTGGACTTATTAAGGGCCAATACGGGAGCTGTGACGGGGTCACACAGCACCTTGCGCTAGAGGAAGTTATCTTCCGAGAGTATACAAACTCTCAGTGAACGGCAGTTCACAGGTCCCCTCTTTAATTAAAGAGAGCGAAGTGACCTAAATAAGGTAGATTGTAAACTGAGTATATTTATAGGTAGGTTAAGTTTGAGGTTAATACAAACTATCAGTTACCTATAGTAATGCAATGTCATTTAACCAATGGTTGGTTTTGAATGACCTTGGTACCTTGTACCAAATATCCCGGAGTATGACATGTCATACTCCTGAAGTGTGAAGTGTCACACTTCATGTAACCAGGGTTGACTTAGTGCTACGTACCCCGTTACATCCTCCCCCACTTAGGTTCGGTTTACCGACCAATCAGAATGAAGAGATGTTCGTCACAAACTCTCATTCTCAAAGTCGAAAACCATCGACTCGGCCGCGCGAGCGCGGCGGAGGCTCACTTTACAGTTAGAGCCTCGAGCAGCAACCTGTGCGCTCTTCGTCAAGGTCTCCACTTCGACCGTTAACATGCCTCGTGGCACTGCTAAGAGCGGTGCTAAGACACGCTCCAAGGCTGCAGCCGGTAAGGCGCAGGCCAAGAGCACTAAGCCTCACGGCAAAGGCTCTGCACTTAAGGAGGCTACTCAGGTGGCCTCCGAGGCGATCGGATCCTCGGGTGACGCGGCTGCGGACAAGCGCGCAAGCAGGCGCCGCAGTCCGTCGCCCTCGTCTTCAGACAATCGTCCGAACCCTCGGTTCGTAGAACATGAGTTCAACTCGGGCAGTGAGGACGATGCCGAGTTCGAGAGCACTCATGATGCTCCTGCGGGCTCTGTGGGAGGGCACAGCCCAGTGCCCAGTGAGCACAAAGAAGACAGCGTGCAGTCGTCCGCTAGTGATCACGGTGATCACAGTCCCAGGACCTCTGTGCGCTCTGAGAGTCCGGCCGTTAAGGCTAAGGGCACTCCCAAAGCCGGTGGCGATGAGGAAGGGAGTCCTCGCAAACGTCTCTCGCTTGCCGAGGGTCTTGCGCGCGCTAAGGCCTCTAAAGCCGAAGGCGCCAAGCCCTCAAAGAAGCGTACCGCCTCTAAGTCTCCACTCCGCGAGGAGAAGGAGACTCGACGCGTCCTATCAGAGTCTCTTCGGCTCCTCGGATGAAGAGAGAGATGAGAGAGACGAAGATGAGGGTGCCATTGTTGAGCCCCGGGAGGTCTCGAATGACCTCGACCAGCAGCAGGAGGATTTCCAAGCTGCCCAGCGTGTGCGTGGGGGTTCGGTGGCGGCACCCGTCAGCCAGGGAGCTGCCATCAACTCAAGAGGGTATTGGCCTCCCGAGGAGAGCTCTGGGGCTGACCTCTTCTTAGAGCTTCTTGTCGCTCCTCGTGGCCTTGTGGGCGGCCACACTTCTAGGGGCATCTATGAACGAGCCCTTGTTCAGAAAGAACAGTTGTTCGTCGACAACGTGGAGGCTGCTCGGTGTGTGCTTCTCGCGCCACACCGCATTCCCCTTAAGGACTTCACGACTTGTCGTAAGAAGCCCGAGACCCGGGGTGGTCTCTATCCTGTTTGGGGATACCCCTGGGTTATGCCCGAGAACTGTCCCACATGGAGTTCTTGTGAGGACATGTTCTGGGCGTGGGTGGAGACTCTCAAGTACTCGCCCACGGAGTTATGGGAACTCCATGAAGATCAGCAGCTGTCCCACATCCTGGACCAGCGTGATCTTCGTGTGAGGTTTGCCCACTTGATCAGCAAGCGTATGCTGCCAAGGGACATCCTGAAGCGCGCGGCTTCTAGCGCTCACGATGAGCGCGGGTACGGTATGTATTCATCATCCGTACCCCGTTCGGGCAAGAAGCCCCGGACTACTTATGAAGCTGCCGCCGCTTCTGTTCCCAGATTGCGACAGCCTTCGGGCAGTCAATCAGGAGCCGTTCAATCGGCTCCCACGAGTTCTCGGAGTGGGCATAACCCCTCCACTTCACGAGGAGCTGTCGCTTCCCGCGACACCGTTGCTCCTGGAGGATCCGCTCCACGTGGAAGTGGACTTCTCCATTCCGGTCAAGCAGGGGCGGAGGTGCCCTCGTACGAGTACGAGTACTCGGCGCCTCCCGAGAGCCACTCTCGTTCGAGTGCTCCGACCGCGGGTCCGACACGGGACCCTGAGGTTGACCGCCTCCGTCAACGTCTCCTCGTGCTTGAGATTGCACTTGGCCTTGGGACTGGCGGTAATGCTGCCGCCCAGGCCGGGAATCAGGGCGAGCTCGCTCGTCTTGCGGGCCGCCTGGACCTGGTGGAGCGAGAGGTCGCGATCCTGCACTTGCGGGTGGATCGCCGGGCCTCTTCGTCCGATCTGGACGAGGCCTTTCGCATGATCCGACGGATCGAGGCTTTGTTGCCACGTCCGGAGCCGCCTGCGGCACACTCCCAGACGTACGCGTATGATGCGTACCCGGCGTACTCAGCGTACTCGGCGTATGGCGCCGGGGTCCGTTCGTATGGAGCCCCTCCGGCGTACGGTCTTGACCGCAGCCTTGCCGTACCGACCGAGACTTGGGTGCCTGCTCCGACGCCCTCGTCGACGACTGTGACCGGCCCTCGCTTCGAGGAGCTGGGTCAAGGGGGGTCTGCGAGTCAGCAACCCCCTGCGGGTCAAAGTACCGCTTAAGACGTCCGACATAGAACGTCGGGTGCGTCGTCATTGACTTTGGAAGGTCGATGGTGTACGACGCACCATGTCTGGCCAGGACTGCAAAAGGTCCGATGAAGCGGTGCTTCAGTTTGTTGCTGCCGACAGAGCTAACAGTGTCTAGAGGTAGGTTCCTCGTGTCTAGCAACACTAAGTCCCCAGCCTCAAATATACTTAAGTTTCCTCTTCCTTGTTTGTCTGAGTACTCCTTTTCTTTATCTTGGGCCGCTGCCATGGCATCGCGGACCCTGCTGACAATGTTCAGCTTGGTATCCATAAAGGATTTCACCTGTTTCCGCAGCGAAACTGGTCTCACATCCGAGACCTGGGAGGAAAGGGCTTTCCGAGCCTCTCCCCCACTTCTGATAGAGGTGTCAGTGTCTCCTCGAAGCGTGAGAGGCACTCTGAGGTGGCGGAAGCCGTTCAAGTAGAACGGCGTGAACCCCGTGGACGCGTGCACCGCGTTGTTGAGCGCAAACTCAACAAATGGGAGCTGCGTCGACCACGTACGTGGTGCTGCCGCGCACACACTGCGCAGCGTGTCCTCGAGCACTCGATTGACGCGCTCTGTTTGGCCGTCTGTCTGCGGATGATCCGTAGTGGACATCTGCAGACGAGTTCCCAGTAAAGGGAACAGCTTTTTCCAAAACGCAGCAGTGAACCGCGGGTCTCGATCCGAGACAATCGTCTCTGGGAGACCGTGATAGCGGAACACGCCATCGACGAACAACCTTGCGGTTTGTTCGCCCGTAACAGTGACGGGAACTGGAGCAAGATGTACCATCTTGCTCAGCCGACACACGAACACCAAAAATTCCGGTGTTGCCGTGTCCGTCGGCGGGAAGCCCAAAGATGAAGTCAAGACTCATCGACTTCCAACAATCAGCCGGTACGGGCAGGCTCTGTAGTGGAGCCGAAGAGTGCCCTGCGGGTTTGACCCGCTAACATGTTTCTTTATGTTCTGACGTACCGGGCGACCCACTTGTACATGTGGGTCCACCAGAAGGACTGAGAGACCGACAGAAAGGTCTTCTCGCGGCCCAAGTGGCCGCTGGAGGGCGCGTCATGCGCCTCCGCGAGGATGTCGAACTTCAGATCCTCGTCGTTGGGTACGACCACCCGTGGAGGATCAGTGGGCTCCACCCGATAATAGAGGAGGCCCTCCTTCAACTCATATCGGTGGAGCCGTGAGCGCTGTCGCGACGAGAGCCAGTCGGACTTCGCGCCCGTTCCGGCCTTAAGGAACTTGACGATAGGCGCGACAGCCTCATCGTCCCGATACGCCATGCGTATCCGATCATATAGATCCGATGTCACCCGCGTGATGTGGGCCAACTCATAGTCGGGACGCCGAGAGAGGGCGTCCGCAAGCACGTTGAGCTTGCCCGGCTTGTATTCGACGCGGAAGTTGTATTCCGCGAAGAAGGACAGCCACCTCGCCATCCTTTGGGAGAGGTGAGGCGAGTTAGTCGCCGTCCTCAAGGACGCGTGGTCTGTGTAGATCACAAAGGGCCTAGAGCCCAGAAGGTGAACACGGAACTTCACAAGGGCATATTTCATTGCCAGGAGCTCCTTGTCATGGACAGGGTAGTTCCGCTCGGCGGCTTTGAGCTGCCAGGACTGGAACGAGATGACTCGTTCCTGTCCAGCCGTGTCGTCCTGCAGCAATGCACACCCGATGGCGTAATCGGAGGCATCGTAGACGACGCTAAACGGCTTCGTCTCGTCCGGCAGAGCCAGGACAGGGGCCTCTTGGAGACTGGCCTTGATGCTGTCAAAAGCATCCTGGTGCTCTTGTTCCCAGCGCCAGTCGACGTCCTTCTGAAGGAGGCTCGACAAGGGCTTAGCGAAGCCCGCGTACCCTGCGCTGTACTTGTGAAGGTAGTTGGCCAAGCCCAACCACTTTCGAAGATCCTTCTGGGATCGGGGCGTCGGCCATGCTGCTATGGCCTTGACCTT